GTCACTTTGTGTCTGTGTCACATTTTGGTAATTCTCGCAGTATTTGAAACGTTTTCGTTATTATTATATATAACGTGACAACCTGTGATCAGTGTTTATGATTTGGCTAAAATCTTAGATGATGGTTAGCATTTTTTAGCAATAAAGTATTTTTTAATTAAGATGTGTACTTTTTTTTTTAGATATAATGCTATTACACATTTAATAGATTGCAGATAGTGGAAACATAACTTTTATATGCACTGGGAAACCAAAAACTTGATTTGACTTGCAATTTCCTGGTATTCACTTTATTGCAGGAGTCTGGAACCAAACCTGCAATACATTTGAGGTCTGCCTGGGTTAACACTATCCATGAAGTCCCTTGTATCCCTAGTGGGAGGCAGCTGGGTTGAGGTTTTACAGCTGGAAGTCTCCAGTAGCAGAGAGAAGGAGAGAGATTTAAGAGGCAGAACTAATCTACATGTGGCTTCTATTTGCAATGGAACAGGAAGGGAGTTTGTCAGCAAAAAGGCAGTAGCTGTTCATGTATAAGGATTGTAAGCAAAAAATTCTTAAAAGAAAGGATTGGCTGTACTTAAATAGAATCTTTTGGGGTGGTGAAGAAATAACACAGTATATTTATTCTTTGTCTTTTTAGGAGAATATGAAGAAGCACTTAAGGTAATGGTTATTTCATCTTATTTGCAAATAATATTTGTTAACTAAAACTTGAACCTGAACGCCATTAGCCATGAGGGGAAACTAACAAAACACAACAAAAACAGATGTTCAGGGAGATTATGATTAGTAGGGCATATCATTCAGCAAAAGGCAGCTCCTGATATAAAGATATTTTTTCCTCTCATTGTTGATCTTGGTGTCACCATGTAGGATTTAAAAATACAAGGAACTGTGTAGAATTATGCTTTCTGGTTCACATTTTTCATCTCCTTCCTTCACCTTTTGTTTTTGTTTTTGTTTTTTTAAGTAGGCTTCATGCCCAGCTTGGGGCTTGAACTCATGACCATGAGATCCAGTCAAATGCTCTACTGACTGAGCCAGCCAGGTGCCCCACCTTGTTTCCTATAGAATGTTATATATAAAGTGGGAGCAGTTAAGGCATAAACTATCCAGTTAACGATCTCTTGCTTGTCAATAATGAAATAGAGCATTCCTCAAAGTCACATCTTTAAGGTGTGCCCAGCTGTCCTTTCATTACCACCTTTGTAATTAAGATTTTTCTTTAAAGTTTGACTATCCTTTGGACGTCTGGGTGGCTCAGTTGGTTAAGCGTCCCAAATTTGGCTCAGGTCATGATCTCGCAATCTGTGAGTTCAAGCCCCACATCGGGCTCTGTGCTGACAGCTCAGAGCCTGGAGGGTGCTTCAGGTTCTGTATCTCCCTCTCTCTCTCTCTCTCTGCTCCTCCCCTGCTCGCTCGCTCGCTCTCTCTCAAAAATAAACATTAAAAAAAAATTAAAAGTTTACTATCCTTTATGAACTTCTAGTCCACAACAAAACTCTTTCGTATAATCACTTTTGGTCTAGGGAGGAAAGGGCAAGATTTTTTAAATAGGGAGCTGGATTTACCCTTTCTGTTGCCTGGTTAAAATTGCCATTGTGGGTGCAACCTGATTCAACAGTTCAGCCAGCCTTCTTGGTTTTTACTCAGAAATCCTTATTTACCAGCCAGTATCTTGGTTTTGGACATTCAGGCCCTTCCCTGGTTTCTCTTAGTTGAGCTGCTCATCTCTTAGTTATTTCATGCTTCATCATTTCCTTCTTCCCTAGTTTTCACGTGCTCTTCCTATTTCATTTTTGCTTTTAAGCTGTTGTAACATGCTTTTCCCCACATTCTTTCACCCTTGTCCCACTGGCTTTTCTCTTTCCCTATTCTCAGAAGCTATAGTAGTTTCACTAAAAAAAAAAAAGGATTCTACAGGCTTCAAAACTTTTCTCTTTCCCACGATCACTGTTTACCTATGCAGTCAGAAATCTCAGACCTCAGGAGTCTAGATGTTGTATAAGCCTGCCCTGTCTCAGGAAGCAAGAGTTTTTATACGTATTTGCATGGTACTATATGATAGTTAAGATCCCATGTTTATATTTTGACACATTTCATTATACTAACTTTTTGAACAGTTTTGTCCACAGACTTTGCCATACGTTTTATTAAATGTCTCTTGGTTTATGGTCTAGAAGAAAGGCTGGCAGACCAGCCAGTGGGCCAGCCATATGTTTTTATAAATAAAGTTTTATTGGAACCCAGCCATGCCTATTACGTATTGTCTGTGGCTGCTTTTGTGCAGACTTGAGCAGAAACTGTACGGCCTGCAAGCCTCAAATATTTATTATGTGGCCTTTTAAGAAGATTTGCTGATTCCTGATCTTAAAATAATACCTGTCAAACTTTTTGGCCATAGAATGCTATTTTTATATGGAAGCTTGGGGCACCTGAGTGGATCAGTCTGTTAAGCATCTGACTCTGGATTTTGGCTCAGGAGATGATCTCATGGTTCATGAGTTTGAGCCCTGTGAGTTCGGGCTCTGTGCTGGCAGTGAGGAGCCTACTTGTGATTCCCACCCCCCCGCCTCTCCCCTGCCCACTCTCTCAAAATAAATCAGCTTTTAAAAAGTAAAATAAATGGAAGCTTAAGATTGTTGTATAAAAATAGGTAAAAGAGGGGCGCCTGGGTGGCGCGGTCGGTTAAGCGTCCGACTTCAGCCAGGTCACGATCTTGCGGTCCGTGAGTTCGAGCCCCGCGTCGGGCTCTGGGCTGATGGCTCAGAGCCTGGAGCCTGTTTCCGATTCTGTGTCTCCCTCTCTCTCTGCCCCTCCCCCGTTCGTGCTCTGTCTCTCTCTCTGTCCCAAAAATAAATAAATAAATAAATAAATAAATAAATAAATAAATAAATAAATAA